CCATCGTTCTTGTCACATAGATTCAATACCTAGTCGGAGACTTAATATTACTTACACTCTATCGAGCTCCCCTACGATTGCGTCGTTCATTTGTGAGTCTCTTATTTTAACTAACTCCGACCCTCTTTCTTCACACGCTTCTTACTCTCGGCGTGAGTTTTCAAAGTCATATGATTAAAATACAGTTCCATGTCTTGGTAAAGAATAATGTTGTTTTCATCTAAATGAATGTAAGACATTATAAACTTCGCTTTGCAAATCGTTATCCCACAGTATAATTCGTGTCGCGAGCTGGATGCCGCAGTCAAATTCCGGGATACGCGTTATTTAAATGTAATTAGGGATGGGCATTTTCAACTACCCGATGATTCAGAAGCAAATTGTTTATTCGAATCAAATCCCATATGTAATTGTACGTGACTTCTTCACTGTAATAAGGTAAAGTATACTCCAGGCTCACAAATTACTGAAAACATAGAACTCGATTAGTTCGATGGGTTGTCGCACACAATAAGAAAGATGTTTATTCTGATTCCATTACATTTGAACCCACGTACATTTGAACCCATGACAATTGCACCTGTATGCTATTGCACCTTTTTTGTTTTTCGGATAGTTGAACCCATACTAACCCTAACCCATGGGTTTAAGCACCCGCATATAGATCGAACCCGTCGATATACGCATGGGTTCGAATGTACATGGGTTCAAATGTACGGTCACCGTTTATTCTATCATTGACTCACTATAAATAAGAGTCAGCATTGGATATTAGAGTAAGGAATCAATAAAAGAATTGACCGAATCACTTCAACCATTGGCGAAAAAAAAACAAAACGGCGTCAATTTGTTTCGATTAAAATTGCCCAGTTCTAGTTGTATTTTTGAAGAATTAACAGGAATTTAAACTTGAGAATTTGTTACTTACATTGCGTCAATGCATTGACAGGAAAATACAGAAGAATTAAACAGTTGATGAAAATCATTCTTCTCAGCATTGTGATTTTTAGCCTTTTTATTGGAACAGTGCCCAACGAAACATTCAGGAGGTTAGATAAACCTCTGTGCAATACTTTTATTGTCCCAATTGTATAAACTAAATATATATAAAAGTAAACCTAATACAGACGAAACAAAATGACCTTGAAAATTAAAGAATAGCATGTTTAATATTCGTTTTAAACTTAATATAACAGGTATTTGATTATATTGAAACAATATACATACATATATATACATATATACACACTCGGTACACGTAAACTTGGAAAAACCCTATTCCGTACTGGCGGAACCCGAAAGTGCCGCGGATCCGCAGTTGAAAACCACTGCTGGCGTATAGATCACACACTTTTTACACACTTATACAAATAGATAGGTCACTTCTAATATATGAAGAAAACACAGTATTGAAAATGTCAATAGACTTGATATGTTGATATTTTCTGTTATATGACAAAGTAACGGTATATCAAATGCGAATGGATGCGACTCATTTAGACAACCAAAATACATACAAAATACATGTTCTATCATACCTGATCTCCCTTTTTCATAATTTTATTAATTTCATACTTTTCATAATTAAATAGTACTTAGCTCTTTTTCAAATTAACTTGAACTGAATTACGCTGTGTTAGCTGATATTTATTGACGCTTAATGCACCACCATGGTTCTGCGTGCAAACCTCGTCAAGTGAAAGTAAAAAGTGAAAGAAATTGCAAAGAACCACTGGCGCGCTTGTAGAGTTAGCAGTAAATAGAGGTTGACACAATAAATCAACACAAAGCGGAAGTTGTTCACAATTGTCAAATTTCTAATCTAATATACTATCTATAGAATAACAATTTCGATTCGCTGTTGTGTTTTTTATGAAATGCAAACGCAAGCGTATAAAGCCCGTGAAATTAACGCTTGTCATAATGTTGTCGTGTCAAAATAGGCAATAGTGAACGAATTTTATACATTCCCAAACGCAAATGTGCCCTATGAACCTGATGTATAAAAGAATAAGTACTATTGTGAACTAGAGCTGCGTGCAGCTTTAACAGGCTTCCCGCGTAAAAAATACTGAAGACGCGTTTTGCTCACTGGAGCGTGAAAGCGTGGTCAGTCATGCATAAAATTTGCATTTTATTGCTAGCTGAGAACTTCTGCACATTTGAGGTGAATTTCAAGTTTGTAGGACCAATTTGAAAAAAAAATATTAAAAATAAATAAATAATAATAAATAAATAATAATAATAAAACACAGGTATACAATAGGTTCCCTGCTGACAAGCAGCGGGAAGCCTAATTAAACTAATTACTATAATGGATATCGAAGGTATTGGCTACAGCTAGAGTGCCAATGTGACTCATCTTATATTATAAATTTTTTTGATGACATTTTCTTCTACATGTTTTTTGAACAGTGTACACCAGCTACTGGTATATTTTTCTCTTTGTTACAAGTACAAATATATATATATACATATTGATAATATATTTATATACCATGGCGGCATAGATTTTGTGGTCTACGACGATGCTTTTATCAAGCTTATTAAAAAAAAATTGAAATTCATGAACGCCTCACAATTTTATTAGTTGCGTAAATACATATGCTGTAACGGTGACGCGCATAATTCTATATCGTCAATATTGATCTTTAATTCTCCCAAACATCACTCACAAAATATTGTTATTCTGACATTTGAAATACAGAGGTATCGGAACTCCAGCTCATATTGAACACAAAGAGGCGTGCGTTGATGTTTTCATTGCAGTTGATTATCATAACAATACGTTTGGTCATTCATTTCTTGACAGAAACCGCTAAATATTTAACTTCTTCGGAGTGCATGTAGCTGTTGTTCAGTATATAAAATATTTATAAAGCCAAAAATTTGATATAAAGATATTTTTCTTATCAACTGTGGTTTTCAGGAATTACTTTCGCCTGGCTGATCCCCAAAACGTGTTGTGATGTCTCAAGACTTGTTCCCAAGATGAAATATCTTCAATTGACACTGTCCTGCTAACTTCCGTGATTTTGAAAAATGCAATGTACAAAATATATAAATCAGATATACTGCCAGCCAGAAAGAGTTTGACGTTGAAATTTTTGTAATTCTAATATTCCCCCACGTTTCCAGTGATAATTCATAATTTTGACAAGCCTCTGCCTTCGAAATAAAAATACTTCACACAAGGCCGCTAGATTTATCCATTTTGTTGCCATGCATTGGGCATTTATATTCGACTTGGGTTCTGGGGATGGTTCTGTTTTGAAAAACCCGTACATAACTTAGCATCTAATTATAAATGTGGTAAAAATTTGAACCATCATCTATATATTCGCCCCAATCTTTGTTTATTTTTAATATTGTTATTTTTTAAAGGCCAGATTACGCTTAGAAGTATATGCATCACTCCACCTACGGCAAAAGAACAAAATATTCGAATTCATATTCCTCACATGATTCATAAAAATTTTATTCGCTATTTTCATCACTGAAAAAAACAAAAAAATCAACCATTTGGTTATCATCAGGATAGGATAGGATTTACATGTTTATCACACGGAAAAGAGAAGCCGATAATACGGTTAATTTATATGGCGAACTACGGCCACTGGTCCGGTTACCAGTCCATGTCGGGTATGGAATTAGTTAGCCAAGGTATTTGTTTGCAGATGCATGAACTCGATGGTGGAGGAAGCCGTAACCGACCAGTGGTTACGTGAATCATCCTACGGCGACGAGGAGTCAAACGATCCTCTCACACATAATTGACCTCGCATGGGGTTCGGACCTGCGAAATATTTCCATAGCCACAGGTTTGCTATAAATAATGCGCTGAGATTTGATTTCTTTCTTTTTATATCCAAATGGTAATATATGACCTATTTTGCCAGTGATTCTAATTCGCTATGATTGTTACAAATTGTAGGCACTGCTTCAAATTTTGGTATGTATGTTAATCAAGACGGCTGACACTGGAACGTGGTATTTTATTTCAATTTTCCTTATTTTACTTCTATTACGAGTTCAGGGACTAGTCAAGTAACTCCCGTACTATTTGCACCTGGAATTATGTCCTAACCCTAACCTGGTACACATACTACGTTCCGGTGTTCGCCATCTTGGTTCACATACTTCGGGAGTACTCAAATTTTATTAAACAAGTTCAATTTGATCTTACGTTATCTGTTACCTTAATCTCAAATAATAATTTTGAGATTCAAACCATACTTAGTAATTATGTCAGTGCAATTCTGTTATTAATTACCGAGCCATTGATTTTCTTATCTGTTTTAGATTATTGGATACAAAGTAGACCTATGGATCCTTTTGTTAATTTTCGTAATTGTTCTTGTTAGTATTATTCTTCTTTGTTGTTGGAATGAAGCTCTGGTTTTCATATTTTTTAAAATTTTCTGTTGCCGCTTTATGGGATCCGTTTTTCATTTTGAAGTTTAGTGTGATGACGTGATGACGTCATCAAAGTTAGAAACTGCGTACCGTGGGACAGTTTGCGATCGGATTTTTAGCTATTTGGTCCTCATATTTGTTTCGCTCCTCGTGTCTATATATTCGAGCATTGCTCTCTTATTCTATTTATGGTAGTTAGATGATGAAAAGTTAATTTGACCAGAATATTGAACAACTTTTATGATGAAAAAATATGAGACAATAATCTATCTCAACCTAACTAATCCGAACTTGATAAACAAAACAAAAATAGGAGTTCGATGAAAACTGGATAGTGCCGAAGTGTTAACCTAAATTTTGTCTCCAAACATTGACTCTGTGACATTCCAAAACTTATACAAGTACAACATACTTTACCTAGCACCATTTGTTTAAACCTGCTTCTAAATCGTTCTCATTGGTCAAAAATTGTCCCTTGTCAACATAAACCATATGTTGTCTCTAACAGTATGGGATAAGTTCTTTCAGAGAACTTTTCTTGACTCCAAAAATGAATGATCAAAAACGGAGAAATGACAACTTCATAAATTTCTCGTATTTATTTGAACGATACATAACCAGATAGATTTGCTCAGAATTTATTTTTATCAGGGATGGGGACAGTGGCATATAAAATTAAAAAGTTTTCATTGTCAGTGCATGGAGCGTATATCCTTGTGTAATGCTCAGATGTTGGATCAATTTACGTTTATTATACAGAGCACACGACTCCTTCAAGCTCATAGGATGGCCAGACTGATCCAAGTCCCTGATCAGTTTCGTTGGGATTTTTTCTAACGTATACATAAACGTGTGTTCGACTTGCTTCAGCGGTTTTCCATTGACTGGGGGATTCTCGAATTCTTTTATACCCAGATATTTGGCCGTTCGATAAAACTGCTTTTCTGTTCTGAAAATAAAATAAAAAAAGTTGATATAAATAATATCAATGAATAGAAAGCTAAAATTGCGAATAAAAATCTTTTATATTTCAATTTACAAGATAACTCAGTCACATGCAACTTTTCTAGCACTATTGCCAAAGGTATATATATGGGTGGGAGCCATTTGAGTTTTTCATTCAACAACATAAACTACACGTACTTTATCTCGTTTCATTCCTGTCCAAACATGAGCATACGATCTCCCAGCAGGAAATTTGTTTCTTACTAATTCCATGATCGCATTGTGTTCATGTTCGGTAGAAATATCAGCTAATCTTAACCCTTTGTTCCGGCAAATTTGTTCAGCTTCGGCCAAAGTGGTGTCTTGCGTAGAATGAATTTCCGTTACAAAACATTTCGAATCGACTCTCACTCCACCCCGTATGCTTTCACATTGTTCTAAAAATAAGTAGGCTGTGTTTGTTTCGTTTGATAAGAAAATCGTCCCATTGCATTTCCTTTACATTTACGAATATTCACACTAATATGCCCCTGAACGCAAGATCTATAAAATATGTAATCAAATTTGTTAATGTTAAATTATCCATCTTCAAAATAAATATCATTTTGGTCAGCGGTTCCCAAAAGGTGCGCCGCAGCGTGTTGTCAGGTGCGCCGCGAAAATTAACAGAATTGTGTTTAACATAACTTTCGTGTATATGAATCAATAAATTCCTTTTACATTTTCATGGCTTTTACTTCTTGTTACATAGTGTCTGTACCTCTAACTAACCATTAGAATAGCAATTTACTATTTGAAAATTTGATAACAGGTGACGCGACAGGTCACTTACGCGTCGCTTAATCTAACGATTGGATTTCACAACTCACTTGCGGATTTCCGACGAAAACACGAGTCTGCACACGCTTCGGCACAAGTGGTGTTTTTCGCGAGTTCGAACAACGAGGAATAAATTTTTTTCTGCTAGGTGTCAATGGTGGCAACCCAAATTTTCTAAATTGGAAAGTGGCAATACAAAATACTAAGAATAAAACTGAGAACACCATGAGTTTTGATTTACGATGGTCCGCGACCGATTAAAATCAAACGTATCCACCTTCGAAATAAATATAATTTGGGTAGACAAATTGTCGATCATCGAAACGCTCTTACCTCTTATAATTATCTCTTCGGTAATTTTGGAAACATTCATTATCTTTTCCTCCAAATTCTTCATCTTTGTTTCAATTTCTGTTGGAATAAAATATGTCTTTGGTCTTAGGCAATAAAAGTAGAAAGATATTGATAAGGATAATATCGATGGAGCTCGTTTTACTTCCGCGTGAAATTATCGGTTACATACAGAATAAGAAAAACCACGAATAAATCACTAAAGAATTATAGAACAGCGGTATTATTACCATACAAAGAGATTATATACTTTCACTGTGAAACTGCGAGAATCAGAGGCTTACAGGGTTCTAATATATAATTGGAAGTTAAAGGATCTGGTTTTAGGTTTTTATTACTGTTATATTTAATGATTAATTAAGATTTTGACAAATTTAAAAACAACCTAACCTTCAAAGCTTAAATGAAAAGACCTTTAGCCCACAGATTGTCAGAGTATTCCCTAGCGAATATGTGTATAAGAATTAGATCAAAGGTTCTCAAACTTTTGGTGTTGCGGAGCCCTTGAAAAGTTGACTATCATTCACGGAGCCCCAAAATAAATGTTAAAATTGTTACTTTCCGATTAATATTCCTGGGAAAGTTAAAAGTACTTTACCTAACTTAAATGCTAAAACTTTTTTAATAGGGTTAATACAAGTCATAAATAAATGTCAATTTCAAAAATAAATTAAATATACTAAAGCTGTAAATTTGACACTTGAAAAACATATTAATAAATTAGGGGTCGAATCTTTTCCCTTTTGACATTTTCGGAAGACCTGAAAGGCCACTAATAATGCGCGCGATTGCATTTTGTTACAATCGCCGATTGTTTTCGTCAGCATGGCGTGTTTTTAAACAAATTTACGTCGGTGTTTATTCTCCCTAAATCAAAAATTTCGATCGGCATATATATACATGTATTGTTCTACAATGACGACGATAGTTGCTCATTTGTTCTCGTGGGGAATTATGAGTTCAATGTGAAAAACATGTTACCATATTATAGTCATCTGCGACGAAATGCTAAAAATAATAATTAATAAAGAGGTAAATCCGCAGCTCAAATTCCTTGATTGAAAAACGGCATTCTAAAATATTAAAACTTAAAATGGAAGATCACACTATAAGTTTGGTTTCAGCAGACTCACGTCAGATTAAAAACGCTTTTATAGGCATTGTATGTAAATCACAAAATTTGATGTTTTGTTAGTTTTTTTTTTTTTTTAGTTATTCATCGTGGTAACTGCGAAATCGAAACACAGTCAATTGTACGCACGGTGTACTTTTTTTTCATTCTGAAACTACCAACGGAGCCGCATGCAATAAAATAAATTTCAATCATTCGTATTTTGCCCAGATCTTGTGATTTTTCAAACGGCGATCTTATCTTGCTCAAACTTAATCTCGAGTACGAAAGAACAAATCAAGTTTGACAAATCGCAAAAATACAACTCCAATTTATTTATAATTGGCAGTTTATGATATGTTATTTTAGAATAGTATTCTTTCCTTTTAGCAATCCTAATAGTAATCTCGAATGAAACGTGAGAAACGATGAGCAGACTTAATTTATTACGACAAGACACTTTAAATACTCACATCGGTCATGCATTGAATATTTTACGCAAAAGAAATCTCGTTATCCGTTTCCTTTTAAATTGCTAATGATGTTGCGCGGAAATTTCCGATTTCAATTTTGAACCCTTTCAAGTATCCTGACTGCGCTCCAGCTCATAAATAACGTCATTTTTAATTCCGCCTCTTCACCATATTTCAAGGCTATAATATTGTCAAATTATATCAAAGCTGTTCTTGCTTCTTTGAACAGTTACAAAATTAGTCAGTATTTTGAAAAGTAATCAATAGCTCGCGGAGCCCGTGGGTTCCTCTCGCGAAGCCCTGGGGCTCCGTACGGAGCACTTTGAGAACCTATGTATTAGAGTATATCGATATCATACTGCGCCATGATGTTGTTCGTTGTTACAACTATTTTTAATCATACCTTTGGCAACTTCAATACGTACAAGCTCCGCCACTCTTTCATAATCTACTGTTCCTGGCTGACCAGACGCACCCTGGGGTCCAGTTTCGCCCTTCAATCCAGGTTGACCTCTCTTCCCCATCGGGCCTTGAAGTCTTCTAGCTGATGGTTGAGAATTCCCGTTGTTGTTGTTAAATACATCGCTGACTTCTTTACATATCATATGCTTGTTTGTGTCTTGACCATTGGTAAAAATGAGGGAAGAAAATACCAACAAAGGAGTAAACAACAACATCCTCATAGAAATGTGTTTTTCGATCTATTCATTGATAGAAATAAAAAGATATAAAAAAGTTGTGTGGTAATTCATTGCAATTATTATTTTGTTGTAAAATCATTATAAATAAAAAATATATATTATGGCATTTTTCGAATTTGGTCCAATCACTACCGATACGGATTTTGGATAAACTTAAAATCTACTAAAAAAAAGTTTGCAAACAGGATTATTTTGAGGATGGAAGCAGTTTTAAAATAACCTCAATCAAACCATTTTAAATCTAGTTTACTCTGTTCGACAGCGAATGTGAGTAGATGTTGCGCATCTTACAACTATCTTTGCATCATTTGTTTATAAGTCCATTTGATGAATAAATTAGATTCAAAAAAATCCTATTTTTCCTTCCTTTCATGAAACTCAAGTTTTAAATAATATTCCTTTTTATAATTAGCAGAGTTGCATTCAATTATGATGATATTGTTTCAGAGATTTTGATGCAGACTGAAAAATCTTAAAAACTTAAGTTATTATATAGAAGAGCGAGAACTGCTCTTGGGAATTACAAACATTATTAATCCTTGACTTTAAACTTAATGTCTGCGATTTCAAGATTGTGGGATTTCATTTTGATGTTTGGAGATAAGGTCATGAACGGCTACATTACATCATTAATTACACCTAATACGCACAGTTGCTTTGAACCACGTATTAAATATGCATAACCCCGTCATATTTTGAGATTTTCACTTCCCTTGGGGCCCTGGGGTGTAAAGGTCGTTGGTTTAATTAAGAACAAAACTGAGGTCAGATCAAAAGGAGGCTGTGACGCACTTGAATCCTAATCAAAATTCAAGTTCTACATCTGGTAATAGATCATAGAACTAGGCCCACGGGTACATCCGATTAAATTGAATGTGTGATCCAAACTAGTATCTCAACAAGTAATTAGAATAGGAAATACTTAAACCGACACCAGTTGTGCAACACCAAGCGTCTGCCATGCTGAAGGGCATTCGCGAAAGTTGCGATATTTTCATTGGCCTTTCAATAACTCATTGCACAACGGCGTTAATAAATAAAATGTGATTGCAATTCGACTAAGAGATATCAAGTATTTAAAATATTTCAATATTCTTAGTAAATTTAACTTACAATCAGCAATGAGCTCGTTTATAAAGCTCACGTTTCATAAAATCCTTGTACGTGTAAATTTGAATACGAAAATTAAACAATTTTTGATTATCACAAGGCTATGAGCGGGAAGAACTCGTTCATGACACATAATCCGCAAATAGCTCAGAACTTTGTATTTAGTATATATAACTTGGTCTTGGCCATGTTTCTGATATTTTCAATTCCCTTGGGACAATGGGATTTAGAGGTCATGGGTTTAACTGAGATGGATTAACAAAACCGAGGTCAGGTCAATAGAAGGCTGTGACGCACTTGAATCTTGAATCAAAACTCCATGTTCTGCATTTGGTATTAGATATACCAGATGTCGATATGCAATTTGCAATCACGTGTTATTTATTCACGCCTTTATGTAATTTAAGCTTCTAATGAGTTATTGAAATTCCATTAGAAATAACGCAACTTTCGGGAATACACTCCTACGTGACACACGCTTGGTGTATATTTCTTATCATAATTACTTGTTTAGTTACTATTTCGTATCACACGTGAAATGTGATCGGATGACCCGTGGGCATAAACATACAGCAAAACATCATGCATATAAGGTTAATTTAATCGATATACAAAAATAGTCGAGGAAATATTGGCATATCATCGACTTTTTGCTTCTGCTTTGTGTTGCGATAATATTAAACAAAGCAAATAATAGAATGAAAGATAATAGACCCATCCTGTCTGAAATAAAGTAGATGAAAGTAAATGAGATAAGTAAGTTGACCTACTAGGGGTGTGCAACGTGCGGCCCGCGGACCAATTGCGGTCTTCAAGGAGGATTTGTGGGCCCGCGGAGAAGTTTCAATTTTGAATGATGTGCGGCGCGCGAATCGAGTTTTTGATTTAATTTGGTACTTGCGAGTAATTCTGATTCTCTTTGTTGCAAAAGCTACATCTGAGTCCAATTTAATATCTATGCATATGACTTTACAATGCCTTAACAGCTAGCTTGTGAAAACGCATTTCAAAAAAACGCATACGCATGTCAAAAGATCAATAACCAAATTTTTGTGCCCTCAACTACTAGAATTATAGTCTATGTTAAGGTGCGGCCCGCGTTTTCACCGAGTTTAATCTATCTGGCCCTACAGTATTGAAGGTTGCACGCCCCTGATCTATACCCTTAAAAATAACACATCACCATTCTGCATATGTATTGAAATAGGTCTTGATTCTTATTCTTTAAATTTACCTCCTATGTCTGTTTCTAAACATATATATATATATATATACATTCCCTGCTTTATAATATTGAAACACACACAAATAAAGGGTTTTATACGAGTATGTGTAGTTGAGGCTTCAACACGAGAGTAAATAACTAATGGCATCAATCACTAAAACCACCGTGCATGTGTATCTTAAGCCTATCCAGGAACCACAAGTCTACCTTAGCTTTACAACAAACTGAATTATCTTTATAAACACCGTCAAATTTATTAAGAGAATAAGTCATCAATATCCCTCAGCCAGAATTGAAATTTTGATTTTGATCACCAAACGACATTTACAAAAAATGGTTTGGAGACAATGGCTGTACAATATCGATTGGGAATAATATTGCCAAGTCGAGTAGTGTTTGGTAACGCGACATATATAAGTCAGCTCAATAGATAGCCATTCAAAGGATGTGCATACACAGTAATTCAAATGCATTTCAGACCGCGTTATTGATATCTATCCAATAAAATTATGACGCACGCAATTTTCAAAACCACATTTTCAGACTTTATACCCCTCTGGGATTGTGGATATAATATTTCAAGACATTTACAATCCCAATTAAAATCAATATCCGTTAGTGGTAAATATTCCAATATACCGTATATAATGAATATATAACACTATCTTCAATCAAATCTACAGCGTGATCGAGAGACTAAAATAATGACGCATCTCACAACTATTATTGCATCTATTGTTCATTAGTCCTATTAATTTAGTGCAATGATAGAACAACAAAAATCAGAATGGATAGACAATAGAGGTTCAAATATCTTATGCGGCAATTTCACTAATTCAATTCTGTTGCGCAGCAGAAAATATTCTTCACAACTATCTCAGCCTCTTTAATAATAATCCTGGCTTGAAGTTCATGTGATCAATAAATTTTAATCTTAACGTCTTTAATCGTAATGTCTGCGGCTTTTTGATTATGGCTTGTGTAATTTGATCGAATGTACCCGATGTTAGGCATATACAGTAAAAAATCATGCATAGACAGTCAATCGTATACAAAAATAGTCGGGGAAATATGGGCATGCTACCAATTCAATCAAGCCTCGACCAGAACATTCAGTTTGAAAGTAGGTGCTGCAGTGTTAAGGTGATACAATCGCATCAATTCTGAACGTTTTGAAAAGTAGGTGAACTTAACGAATCATTTTTTACACAAAATTATGCTGGCGAGTATGCGAGTCAATTTACTGTTAAACAAACTTGAGCGTGTCATGCTATGAAATTATACTGAATATTCGACCGTACAGAACTAATAAATCCATGTACCTTTATGCAAATCACTTGAATACCTTTATTTTGCATATTGAATCAATTAAGAGTTTTTTAATTTATTTTGCTCTTTTCCCTGAACAGTTTTGTGTAAAAAAATTATCTTCAATTACACTCGTTATTGGATTATTATAATTATTTCAACTAAGAGATATTAAATATTTTAAATATTTCAATTATCTTAGTATTGTTAACTTACCAACAGCAATGAGCTCGTTAACAAAGCTCACGTATCATCAAATCCCTGTATTTGTAAAATCAAATACGATAAGTAAATCATTTTCGATTATGGACCCATTGGGACAATGGAGTGCAGAGGTCATTTGTTTAATTAAGATGGATAAACAAAACTGTGGTCAGTTCAATAGAAAGCTGTGACGCACTTGAATACTAATCAAAAATCCATGTTCTGCATTTGATATTAAATCAAATGTTGAATATTTGATAATAAATCGAGATGCAATTTGCAACCATGTGCTATTTATTCACGCCGATTTGTAATTTGAACTTCTAAGAAGTTATTGAATGCCCAGTGAAATTGCAACTTGCGAGAATAATGTTTGATATTGAACACCTGTTATCGGTTTATATCTTTCTTATCCCGATTGCTTGTTTAGATACTAATTAAAATCACACATGAAATTTGATCGGATGTACCCATGGGCTTAGTGCTATGCATATATACAGTCAATCAACATACCACAAAAGTCAAGAAAACATGAACATGCATCCAATTTAATTGAGCTTTGATCCGATCATATATAATATAGATGCTGCAGCAGTGGCGGCGCGTCAATAGGGCCAACCGGGGCATTGTTTTTTCGGTATAATAAAAAATATTCGAAAAATACCTCAATATCGGTTGCACAGACTGTCTACACTAGCCATATTCTCCCGACATGGTTCATTTTTCGCTCGCAAAGCCTTCGCCGAACGTCGACGGGGCGACGCCGATTTTGCCCCGGTTGCTCATTGTATATCGTATTCTCTCTTTTATCTTCCACTCGCCGCGTTTTGCTCGTTTGTTTTCTGTTTCTTTTACTAAATCATCGGGGCCGATCGGGGCTAGCCCCGAAATTATGACGACACAATGCCGACGTTTCTTACAACAACGTGTTGACATATTCATGCATTCCTTCTCGTTCGTTGGTTGCTTGAAGAGTTGATAGTTTCCTCGCCTTCGTTTATGTCGCTTGTTTCGTTATTTGAATCAGTTAGAGACCTTTAGTCCATTTGCTTTCGATTTTCCACATTCCTTTTGAACTCCTCACTTCTTTCCGGCTTCGCATTTCTTAGCCTTAGACCTCATAATGAATAAGGCTGATGCACT